ACCTCAACCCCAGCCACAACAGAAGGTTAAAAAAAAAAAACTGCGCAAGCTTCGGCGCTAGGCATTGGGGCATTTTGACAAGTACAAGTACTTGTCAAAATGCCCTGTATTGGGCCTGATTCCGATGCTAGCATCGGTATCGGGACATCCCTAATTTTTAATAATGGGAATTAGTAGTGTAGAATAAGACAGATGGACTTTGGTGAGGACAAGACTGAAATTCCATTGCAATGGAGGAGTTCGTGGGTGGGCTTCATTCGCTTCCCTTACACCCCCATATCCTAAGCTTGGAGAAAGCCAGCTATCTACAACACTGTATGATACTGATTACATGAATTTGCTTAGAAACTGAATATTTATAAGACATTCTGTGTGCATTCCAAGGCACGGAACAGGCAGAGGATTTGGTGACCGAGCATATATTAAACCCACTTAAATACATTTAGAATTTTAAGGTCAGATTGGTGTGTGTCGGCATGTGAAAGGTCAACATTACCCTTCAGGGACCTTCTGCATGTAAATTTGTGTAAGGGAAATTACTTGTTAAAACATTATTCAAATAAAATGAGATCAACAATATTAGTGCAATCCCACTCATGTTTATAAAGGAAAGTTCCAAATATGAGGTGTGTACACTATTAATACATGAATAATATTATTAGTTTTATTTTAGGTTGTGGTTACAAATACTCAAATGTCTCGAATGTGGTTGGAACATTTGCTTATATTTTCCTGATCTGAGTACTTCTTCCATGTTACTGGAAGTGCTGAAGTACTGAAGCCTGAGAATCAGTGTGAAAGCCAAGCTACTAGCATTTGAAGAAGAAAGTCAGAAATGGCAGACCAGGTAATTCTTTTATGGTAGGTTAATAATAAAGGAGAACTAAACTTTTTTTTTTCTTGCAATGTCTTTAAAATTAAAATTAAAAGAGGAAAAATGTGCATGCATGTATACCTGCAAAACATTCTTCCCTGTGGCTGTATCAAAATCCCACCATCTTGCAGAAACACCCTCTTTTACTTCTCCTTTGGGTGGGTGCCTACATCAGAAGGAAGTGATGTAATGCTTCCCTTACAGGAAGGAATCTCCACCAACTCCTCTCATACTTTTGTATCTGGGTGTATATAAGGCAATTTTACCACCACACTATTTCTTCTTCATTATAGATTCCTTTTTCCATGTTGTGCAGGAGTACCATATAGGAATGTCTGTGAGGCCTGGTTCACACCTTTTTTGCGCGTTTGTACGGGCGTGAGCAGCATGCGGTTATTGGCGCGTTTATGCGTGTTGTGCACATTTTTTGATGCATGTTTTTACGCGCGAACATGTAGACGTGCGTTCTGACTGGCAGCTCATGAAACATTGCGGGCAATGAAAGAACGTGCGTTTAAACGTGCAAAAACGCTTACAAAAATGTGCAGAATGCTTCTGCTGCTCGTTTTTGGGCATTTGCATTGAAATCTACGATGTGAAATCGTGCTTTTAACAGGCCAAAGAAGCTCATGTACCTTCTCGGGTGTTTGGCTTTTCCTTGCGGGCGTTTTTCTGCTCAGGTGTGAACCAGGGCCATTGAAAATCCTAGGTTTCTTTTGTTGGGCATGTAAAAGCGCCTTTTGAGCTGCTCAATAACTCCTAGGTGTGAACCAGGCTTGAAGGTTCTCATTCATCTAGATATACCACATAGGAATATTTGTTCCCACAATGTGAGCTATGTAAGAACAAGGAGTCACTCAGAGGCTGCATGGAAGGAGGGAGGGGAGCCAAAAAACGGACTGCACAGCAAAGTCCACCTACACATTATAACATGTTAGATGGCTGACATACTCAGAAAGAGGTGGGGAAATGTCTATGACCTCTGGGGATTTTCTGACAGTGAGGCTCAACACAGGGGTCATAGAGATTACCAAGTTCTCCTGCAGCACCAGTACAACATATTTTTAACTGTTGCAAAAAAGCAAAGGAGAGACATACAGTATTTGCAGGTTTTCATGCATGTACATTTTTCCCCAAAAATGTAGCAGAAATTTAGTTAAAAAAGAAAAGCTTCGATCTGCTTTAAGGACTGCTGCGATAAGCTCAGTCAGCCTACAGACATTCTGCTGTCAGACCAAACCCATAGACTAGAATTTAGTGAAAGTATTAAAGCACGACTCATGTACTAAAGCAAAGCCTGTACATAATGTAATGAGCAAATATAGCTGCCCCTAGAACATACCGTGTTTCCCCGAAAAAAAGACATCTCGGTGGGCGGGAGCTGCGGCTGGCGTGTGGGCGGGACGGGAGCTGCGGCCGGCTGGAGTGTGGGCGGAGCGGGAGCTGCAGCCGCTCTTAACATGCAAAAATCAATTACATGTGCAGCTACCCCGGAAGTAAGATCTAGCGCTATCTTCAGGGATTTCTGTAATATAAGACCTACCCCATACTAGGTCTTATTTTCGGGGTAGGTCTTATATTACAGAAATCCCTGAAGATAGCGCTAGGTCTTACTTTCGGGGTAGGTCTTACTTTTGGGGAAACACGGTAGATAATTACAAAACTATACACACAAACAACTTCTTTTCAATAAAGAGTTCTTAGTTCTAAAGTGCAGAACCAATTATTATTCATTTTGATGAAGTGAGAACAGTAAAAGATGAATTTGAATTGGTTGCAATGGGCTATAAAATTTAGAATTCTTTACTGAATATTTTGTAGGTTAACACTTATTGAAAAGGTGGCTCACGTTAAGACGATCACATTTACATACTGTACATCTGTAAAAAAGATTCTTTCCCTTTAAAGGACTGGTAAGCCTTAGAGAAGAACTTTACTCAAATTTTCAAAATAACAGCAAAGACACCTTTAGAATTGCTCAGCAATGACAATCTACAAACATATACATATAGATAACTGACGGCTTTTAATTCTTTGCATTATTTTTCTTTTCTTCCGTAGTCTTCTGACAGTGGCTATTTTAACTAAGGGCAGGTTACTAGATCTCCCTTTATTTCCTAGAACTCTGGCACTAGGGACTAGGACATGTGACCATACACACAGGGCTGTCTTTAATATTGATTGGACCCTGGGCAAACATTTCCTTGGGCCCCCTGCCCACTACCTGCCATGCCCGTGAACCCTAGATGCCTCGTGTGCAGGGCTGATGCGAGGTTTTTTCCTACACAGGCAAAGGTGCATCCCCCCCCCTGTGCCCTCAGACAGCTGCCTATGCAGCCTTGTGCTAGTGCCGGCCCTCTCTAGATTGCCCCAAAGCCTCCCAGGATACATGACATATTGCAGGTAACTGGGGACATCGTTCCTGCCTAGGCAAGAAAGGCATAAGTGCAGTCTGTATTCCATGTTAAAAAAAACAACAACCTGTATTTTCTATTTCAAGCAAGGGGGGGCACTATACTATAAAGAAAAAAGGATTTAGGGTTTACTGTAAGTAAATATGTCAGCACACACTTGTAATTGGTTAGATTTACAGTTCCAGTGATTATGGTGATACCTGGTGTGAGGCTCCGGAGAGTGAACACAGCAGGGGTGACAGCTCATGGCACATTGAGGGCTCCCAGCAGGCCCCAGGCAACACAGTGAGTACGGAGAGAGCCAGGGGCGGGGCTGAGTGGATAGTTGGCGCAGCCCGAAGTCCTGTCCATGCTGCTGCATGTAGTCCTACACAGGTGAGGTTGCCAGCCCTGAACATGTGTATCTTTTGCAGGCTCAAGGGGCAGCTGCTTTGGGCCCCACAAGGACTAGGCCCTGGGCAACTGCCCCTTTTGCCCTGCATGCACATCATCTCGGGGGAGGAAAATGCCTTTCCCTGAGATCTCATGAGAATACAGATGAGATTTCCCAGCAATGCTCTGCTAAAGTAACCTTCCCAGGATACATCACTTGGGCACATTACATCATTTGTCCCAGTGGACCAGGAAATAAAAAAGAAGAAATTGTAGTAAAAAAAAATTTGTTTGTTTTAATAATGAATGTAAGATGACTTCATATCATGCTGATATGAAGTCATCTTACATTCATTAAGAGCAGAGCTGTTTGCTGATGAGATTTTTAGTCAAAGGGGGTAAAGGTCCACTTTAAATCCAAAATAGTTTAGGAGCCAATATGTCCTTTTTCTGGTGAATATGTCATTTTTTTTAAAGGCCTTTCGAAAGATAATTCGGATAAACCATTATTAAAGGCAGAGACATTTATCTGGACACAGCCGACATCCTGTCGGGGCATTGTTCAAATCTGTTACGTTTCAGTAGGAAAGCCATAATATAATTCATAGGTATTGGTAGGAGACTGCCTGATAATACTGCCCCTCAGCTGCCCATCCAAAAGGGGCATAACTGCATATAAATTCATCCTCCATTATGAAGTGGTAGGGAAATAGGTGCAAATTTTGACTAATTGTTCTATCCTCCTGAAGCAGAATGAAGGTTGTAGCTGGGCCTCCTGGACCATTTAAAGAGATTTAAAAAAGTAATAAAGCAGATAGAAAATTGTTCTGGGCGGGAACAAAAATAGGGGAGAACCAGTTTACAATGTAGCCCTATTACAGTGGATACAATAAATCTTCAACATTTCTTTTAATACTGGACTGTCCTGGTTCAGATTCTGACAAAACTGGACAAAAAGTTCTTGTGTTGTCATTGGCATTAACCACTTAGATGTCTTCTTTCATTTTCTTACCTTGAAGCGCAACTGAAGCCAAAACTTTTTTTTTTATATACAATCTTCCAATGTGGACACTAGTACTGGTGACCCTGCTGGCCACCAGAGATTTCCTCTCACTTACTTTTCAAGCTATCGGACAGAAAGTGAAGAGAAAGCTCCCCAAATGGACACAAAAAGAGCTGACAGGGATTATAACCCTTCCTTAATCTATCCAAAACTAAAAAAAAAAGTTTTGGCTTCAGTTCTACTTTAACTTGAAAAAGAAAGCTGGATTCTGGCTTGACGCTATAGACAATGACATCACAGACCCTTCCCTCAAGTTTTAACACCATCCATTTAGTGCGGTTTTACTTATCCAGATAAGAAATCATTCTATAGTTAATGTTCAAATTCTGATTCAAACACCGGCATTAGATTGTCAGTTTCATCTTTCATTCCATAATAAAGATCATCTGCTTCATGGTCTTGTGCGGATCCCCGAGTTAGGGAGGTTTCCTCTGCCTCTTCTTCACCAGTGTTATTGTCATCGTGGCGGGAGATATGGAGGCTTCCTCCTTCTATGTGTGGCTGGCTGGCTTCACACAAAGGTGAATCTATCATTGCTATTCCATCACACACAGGACCATATATAAGATTAAACCCATCTCCACAGAGTGGACCTCCAAACTGCACAGCGACATCCTGCTTCTGTTGCTGCCAGTCCTCACAGCTGTGCAAAGAGGACGCACTACTTCCTGTGCTTGTCTTCTCCGATGTTGTTATAGTGGTGTCTTCTTTTAGACAGGCAAGAGGGGCAGACTGGCTGAACAAGAGGAAAGCAAGACTTGATTAATCAAAGTGAATTTCTAGTTTATCTATAGACTTATTTAACCTATTTTGATAACTAGGAGGTAAAGTTTTAAAAATGATGCAAAGTGTAGCGTTTCATGCTGTCACTCAGATAACAGAACCCAATTTAGGATTTACATGGCAGTACTATAGGGCTACACTATTTTGTATAGTTATTTATTCCGATGTCGCACCGGGAGAATGAAATTATCTTCTCCATTTAGGGCCAGATTTCTCACTAGGCCACATAGGCCATGGCCTTGGGCACCAGGACCAACTGAGGGGCATATAGCCAATTGAAGGTTGTGCTGGCAATGTAATAGCCCCCATGCTACCCTTTCTCTTGCACATGTCTATGTACATTTACAGCTAGCTGCCACTTGCCCGCCCACACCGCCACTGCATCTCCACTTACTCCCATTTCCAATGCTGGGGAGTGAGGAAGGAAATGTGCCCCGTATGGGCAGTTGCATAGCGACCGAAAAAAAAAAAACATTTGGCGACAAGGCCAACTGATTCTGTATCTCTAGACATGTTGCTGGTTATTTCAGTAATGTACTGATTGTGTCTCTGGGGATTTCTGGTTGTGACTTTTGGTTATGACCATTTCTTTATGTTTATGTGGAACAGTGTATGTGCCCATGTCATCTTTATGTGGAACATTGTATGTTCCCTGTGTGTTCAAGTGTTGGGGTCCACAATCATTGTTTAGGGGAAGAATGGATGGTACAAGGTAGGGAGGAAAGAGTATAAATCTGGCCCTGGCTCCACTACCATTACCAGTTTCTTATCTGTTACCACTGACCGCAAACACAATTTAAGACTTGTGAATTTTACAGACTTTTCTAGTATCCATTGTTGTTAATAGTAAATTTTCCTTTATGTTGCCATGTGGAATGCTGTAGATCAGGGATAGGCAACCTCAGCACTCCAGCTGTAGTAAAACTACAAATCCAATTATGCCTTTGCCTTTGGGAGTCATGCCTGTGGATGCCAGAGTATTGCAATGTCTCATGGGACATTTTGTTCCATGACAGCCAGAGTGCCGAAGTTGCCTTCATCTGTTGTAGCTAAGTGGATTAGTGTTAAACTTACACAGACACATTCCACTGTGGCTACAAGCAAAATACGAGCATTTGCCGTTAAGCAGAATGGGGAACGCACTCTGTACAAGTTCTCACTCACCAGATGGCTTCCACCATTGCATGTTCTTCTTTTCCAATTGAATTCCTGTGTATTTCCACCTTGGCTTGCAACTTTGGCTGTGAAAAGTCTACCAACACAGGTTGTGGGAAAGGTAGAACTGACTGGTTTCCTTGAGGTTCCCCGAGTTCCTCCACCTTAATGTTAATCTGTTCATAAGAAGGCAAGGTGGCCTCATAGCGCTCTGCCTCTTTACTGCTTGTGTAAGGTGTGGTAGACCTGTTCAGGAAGGATAGTGTGAATAAATTATTTGAATATTTTTTTTATCATAAAACATGCTGAATATAAAATATAACAAGAACACAATAGATATCTTCAATTACACTGGGAGTGCTTGATTTTACTTGAGTAGGTCGGATCTTTGGTGATTCAGTCTGCAATAAATTAGATCAAGAGAGATCATGTTGCCAGTTATGTCACCAACAAAAGTAATCTTCATATTTTGGGGTAGGGAAGGGTCCCCTTCCTCAGACAGACATTAGAGATTAAGGCGATCCTGTGCAGCCTGAAGCAGAAAAAAAATGCTTCTTCAGGTAACTTTACAATAAATCCAGATTGAGGAGCATTTTGGTGAGCTGGTGGTGTGCCATCTGTTCAGAGTTGACAGCGTTATACGTCTAATCACTATAGCACCCTCATTGCTGAAACTAGTTCCCTAGTACTGTTTGGAGTGCATTTGGGACTTCGATTTTCCTACAATTAATTCAGGTTGCACAAATCAAAGCATTATTCAGCAAGCTACTAAATGTCCCTACCATCGGCTGGATCTAGATGTTTATTATAAAATGCCTCAGGAATGGCCATTGCTGCTTGTTAATGTATATATAATATCAGTGTTAGAATTATAATACTGTTCTTCTACTTTAGAATTTTGTAGATCTGCACAATTGAGCTGCTAAACATACTGAAAGGATATGATCTGAGCAAAGCAATTTACTATGTTACTGACACAGATTTGGCATCTGTGTCTCCTAAAGGATAAGTGCACTTTAAAACAACGTGGACTTATCCTTTTTGCCCCTTCCCTTGATGTAACCAAACCACCTTCCTACTCCACAAATGCATACTTACCTAAATTAGATAACTGATGTTCCGCTGCTTGTGTACATCCAGTGCCCCAAGTCTTTAATGTCCTGGCCAGGCCTGCACATTACCACCCCATAGACATTTAAGGGTCTGTTTCTGAGTGTCTCCACTCTCAGGACACAGTCACATACACATCTTTGGGGCACTAATGCACAGGAGCAGCCAGAACAGTAAAGACTTTCACCGGTAAATTAACAGCAAAACTGTGGCTGTCCAATTAAGGTAGATATGCATCTGTGGAGGGAGAGAATGGCTTGGATAGATCAGTGGAAGAGGTCAAAAAGGATAAATTCACTTTATTTTAAATGTGCGCTTATCCTTTAAAGCAGTTGTCTACACCCATGTATAATTCTGAATACACTGATGTAGGTTTAGAACTTTTGCTAGGTTTTTATTGCTGTCTGTATCTTCACTGGGGAGATTTGACCTCACTTCCTGTCCCCATTGGTACCTGCTACTGGGACAAGGAGGGGAAATCATTCCATCACAGGTCACAGGCAGCAAAAACAACCTGATAGTGGTTCTAACCTGGGGCCCATTCTGCTTAAAATGTTTTATTGCTATGCCACTGGAGTCTCAGACAACAGTAAAAACCTAATCGTTTTACAAAGCTACAAAAAATGTTGGGGGTAGACCTCAATGTGGCCTGCAGTATAATCTCTCTTTTCGGACTAATTTGACTTGTAAAACCCTTAGATGGTAACTTTTCTTAATTGCCTAGTCAAAACCCAAATTGAAATGGAAATATTTCTTGATTACTTTTTCAAAACCCCAGCACCAACAATTGAAACTGCCATCAACTGACCTCACGGAGCAAATGATGCTATTTTGTGGGCCAAGCATGTCACTGTGGGTGGTTTACTCTACATGTACAAGCGTACAGGAATTTAAATATGCTTTGGATAAACACAAGTCTGTTGGGAGGAGTAAAAATACATGGACAGACGAGATAAGCAAGGTATCTGCTATCATCAATCTGTTTTTCTGTATACAAGACCTTTCTCCTTCCTTATGCCTGGTCATAAACATCCTTATTATGTGATCATGTTTAATATGATGTACTTGTAGATAAACCTAACATACTTTACATTTCACAGATCCCAGTATTATTTGACCTTGGATTAAAATGAGATGAGTGATGAATTGTAATATACTATACCAACTGTGCAATTAGGTGGCACAGAGAGCAATAATGATGTGCAAAGTGCAGTAATCATTAGCAGCCAAATTTCAGTTGCTATAAACTTAGAGCAGACAGAAAAAGGAAAAAAGCTGGTTGGTTAATATGTACTTTTATATAAAAAACAAAAACAAATCCAAAATAAATGTACTAGGGCACTACATGTATTGGATTTGCAGGTATTAGATTGAGCCATCCACTGATCTTATGAAATGTTAAGGGCCAACCCCTATGTTCACATAATTATTTCTTATAAGGAAGAGTAGCATTGACGGTAAATAGCCAGGATTCTTGAGTTGGAGAACTAGCTTGATTCCAGGTATGTACAATCTGTTTGTGTGCAATCAAGTTCCATTAAGAAAAACAGTAGTAACTTTATCCAATGCTAAATTGCAAGAGGCAATACTAAGGGTTCAAGGAGAGCAGGAAGCTTATTTTATTATGGAGAAATTTGATCACCTGCTCCCAGTATCCTTGGCTCAATGGACATGTCCAAAGTACATGAAAAGATATGAAAAGGTGGCAGAGCACATAGGACATAAAGGGCTATGATTGGGTTGGAATTTTGAGAGTTGTACAGGCGTCAAATAAGACCTATGTAAAATATACAGTTGTATCAGTCTGTTAGATAATTGGGGGGAACTACTCTACGGGCCTCCAGGGCCTTGTCCCATTCTTCCTCTTTCAAAACCCCAATATCCACATGCCACTTGTGTTTGGGTCGATAAGGTTGTTATGTACTTTGCAATTAGGCCCATTCCTTTTAAATAAGGATGTAAAAGCACAAGACCATATTAGAAACATACCACTGTTTGGCTGGGATTGCAAGTTCAGACTTTTCTGCCAAAGGTACAGCTTCCATATCCACAGGAGTAAAGGTAATCTATAAGAATATAAAATATATTACGATATTTACAACCAATGTGCATGATTGAACAGCTATCTATTTTGAGATAATAACAAACCTGTCAAAAATCTGGGCAATTCACATTATGCATATGATGAACACATACATAAGCACTAACAAGACCTCACAACCTATGAACCTCCAGGAGAGAGTGGTAATGCCTGGTGCAGAATAGCAAAATGTTCCTTTAATATATCATCTATGGAACCCGCCTATAACGTTCTGATGCAATAGTTTTGGGTTCCTGCCAAAATTGTGAAATCCAACCCAGTATATAGTGGCAAATGCTTCAGAAGATGTGGACACAGAAGACATATGTGGTATTGGGGCAAGACATGGTGGTCCTGCCCCAATACTAATTTATTTCTGCTACAGATCTTTGGGCTACCACATACTGTATACTTTTCACATAGTTATCCCAAAGAACCCGTGGATATTACTCCTTTATAATATTGAAAGCCTGCACATGATTCAACAGAAAACTTGCAACCTTTTTTAAGCAGAGAAACATCAAAACAGTATGGAAGAACAGCAAAGTGAACATCAAGGAAGTAAAGAGTTAAATGAACGTTAAATGAAACATTTTCCTCTATGCTAAATGAATTTCAAACCATATATCTGAAAATCTTGAAACCCTGGATACAAAATGCTCTACACACACCTAACCAATCAAGACTGGGTTCCTGCAGTTAAAGAGATCCATAATCATCCCATAAGATTATATGTGCATTTAATGTGTTTTATTTTAGTTATTTACCTGTAAATGCCTCCCTTATATAGAAATCCAAAAGCCCTGAGACTGCTGCCTTGCTGTGATGTCAGCAGCCCGGGCCCAAGTACTTGTAGTGGTGCTTGCAGTGACAATCACGGATGGCGCCGTGCAACAAATAGTGGAAAGCAGAAATCTTGCGACAATGTAGCAAGTGTAAAGCTTGTTACATTGTCGCCCTGATGAAGGTATCGTGTGCGGTCCCGAAACGTCGCTATTATGTACATGACAATTGACGATTGGTCCAATTAAATGGACATCAAAGATAATTACTGAGTGCTGGTGATTTCTGATTTCCCCTGTTATAGGGAAAGCTTACATTTTTATATATCTCTAGATCTACTGATCATTTTAATATGCAGTTCTCACTGAAAGTAGCCTTCATATTTTAATTATATGCTCGGCTTCAACTGACAAGGTTTGTGACAGGTTCACTTTACAGTATGGAAGCAACAATAATCTTTTAAGGGGCAGCAAACAGCCCTTTATGTAATCTTTTTCAAGTCACTAGTTTTTTACGGTTGTGTACCAAACAAAAAAGTGGAATTGAGGGTGACTGTCTGAATGTTTAGTATGAAATATTAGTTAACACTTGGTTGTATTTTGACCGTTTTACAGCAATAGGGTTACCACCTGTCTGAGATTCACCCAGGCAGTTTGGGTGTTGAGCCATGTATGTGCTGTGTCCGGGGTTTAGGGCCAGCTGAAAAGCATACACAAGATGCCACATCATCAGGCGGACAGGGGCAACCACGGGGTCCTGGTGTTTCAACTTGAGTACATTCTCTCTCCTGGCTGTCTCTCCACGCTCTCACTCCTGGCTGCCTCTCCTCTCTTTCCCCTGGCTGTCTATCCCAGCTCTCTCCTGGCTGTCTCTCCTTGCTCATCCTCCTGGCTGTCTCTCCTCTCTCTCCTGGCTGTCTCTCCTCTCTCTCCCTGGCTGTCTCTCCTTGCTCTCTCCTGGCTGTCTTTCCTCATGCTCTCTCCTGACTGTCTCTCCTCACTCACGCTCCGGGCTGGCTCTCCTCACTCTCTCTGCTGGCTGTCTCTCCTTGCTCTCTCTCCCCTGGCTGCCCCTCCTCGTTCTCTCTTCTGACTGCCTCTCCTCACTCATCCTCCTGGCTGCCTCTCCTATCTGTCTCTCTGCTGGCTATCCTACGCTCTCTCCCCTGGCTGTCTTTCCTCTCGCTCCTGGCTGTCTCTCCTAACTTTCTCTCTTGGCTGTCTCTCCTCACTCTCTCTCCTCTGGCTGTCTTTCCTCTCTGTCCCCTGGCTGTCTCTCCTCACTCTCTCTGCTGGCTGTCTCTCCTCTCTCTCTCCTGACTGTCTCTCCTCTCTCTCTCCTGACTGTCTCTCCTCTCTCTCTCTCCCCTGGCTGTCTCATCTCTCTCTCCCCTGGCTGTCTCTGTTATCTGTCTCCTGTCTGTCGCTCCTCTCACTCCTGGCTGTTTTTCCTAGCCCTCTCCCCTGTCTGTCTCTCCTCACTCTCTCACCTGACTGTCTCTTCTCTCTCACCTGGCTGTCTCTCCTCGCTCTCTCACCTGACTGTCTCTCCTCTCTCTCCTGGCTGTCTATCCTCGCTCTCCTGTATATTCTTCAACAAAAAAATTGCTGCATGGCGCTAGAGTGTTTGGGCTTAGCTTGAGAGAAAGTTGCCAAAGGGAAGAAGAGATGGTTCTGAATAAAGATGAATGAAATTAAGGGGAAGATTTATAAATAATCCACCCAGCCATACACTGGGCAAACACACTTTGCACAGCATTCCTGCCACTAGAGGGAGCATTCCTATTCCTATGCTCATTGTCTCCATCTAGTGGTGGGAACGCCATAGAAATGGCATCCACCCAGTGCATGGCTGGGCGGATTATTTATAAATCATCCCCTAAGAGTTTTCATTTCCTGTAAATATCAGGACATTTGGTGAGTGTCGGTGACATGCATTGGAGTCAACAGAGGTAGCACAATGAATGTGATTTTGTGATTTCTGATTATGTTTAATGGAGCAATGGGTTTTAAAATACTCTTGTGGGTTACAAAATCACCTTTTAACTAATTGCAACTTGTCTTTGTGCTATAAAATATCCCTTCGTTAACGTTATTTTATAAATATGTATCTTTTTTTTTCAGAATAAAAATTGGACAGTAAAAAAACAAATTTAAAGCAACAATACACAAAGAATAAATGCACATAAAAAAGACACAATATACACAAAAAAACAATCATTGAAATGAACTGAACTACCCTAAATATACTAAAAAGGTACGCTCTAAATAAAAGAAAAAAAACATTTTTGGATTTTTTTTAAAGAAAATTTTGCTTAAGAAACTGACCAAAACTTCCACCTAACACCAAAATCAGTAAATTTGTGGATAAATCCATTTCGCCAAAATCACTTCACTCTTCCCTAGAGTTGAGCACATAGCATCTGTTAGCTGCAGCAGACAAGAGGACTATCCTACAATGCTAGGGTAGACAAACTTGGCACTCCAGCTGTGGGGAACTAAAATCCTATCATGGCTCTGCCTCTGGGAGCCATGTCAGTGGCTGTCAGAGTCTTGCAATGCGTCATGGGACTTGTAGTTCCACAACAGCTGGAGTGCCGAGGTTGCCTACCCCTGCTCTAACGTGAGAAGTTTATGGAATGTTTGACTATGTTGCTTTATAATCTTTATTATACAGCAACACGTTTCTTACAAATTCTAATTTCCAGTACTTTATAAAACATGTAATGGTCCCGCAAAATGATAACTAAGCATTAATCTGTACACATATATATATACACTATTATTTATTAAAGTGGAAGTTCGCCTTAGAATTCTATTTCCCCCATAGTGCCCAGTGACAATTCTCCTACCTTAGGGTAGCACTGACAGATGCTCCACGTGACTCCGATAAATATCAGGAACACCCCAATACAGCAGAAGGTGATGTATATTTGGGGCTTATCCACACTCATAATGAACATGCCAATCATGATCAGAAAAAATCCCAGTACAATGAGCCCATAGCGAAACGTTTTATCCTCCGCCATGCCGGTCAGATGGAGAAGGGAAGGTATTCAGGTATGAGAGGGGGGTCACTTGGAGTGAAAGTTCTCCTGTCACACTGACAGCCAATGCTTTCCACCGTCTGGCTTAGCCTAGTCCTGCCCAAAGTTGATCAAGCCAGTTCTGAAAGGAGTGAAATGAATGCAAATGGTTTGCTGAGATTTCCACTCCAGTGATGCCGGACTGAACAGCTCAGTGGTTACCTTCCCCGGAGGTATAAATACCCTGCAACATCCACACCTTTACCTGTTGTGTTTATGGAAGAAGCATTGGGAGGAGGTATGTGCTGCAATGCATGATGATGATGATGATTGCAAGTACACTTTACAATGCTGGAGATTTCTCATCCACTATGAAAACCTATTCTGGTCATTTTGTATACATTTACAAACATACATTTATTTATTTTTGTATTATGCATTTTTAGATATGTTAAAATAAACATTTGTTATATTTTATAAAAAAGTACACTTTGTGTAATCCATGGAGTACCTTAAAAGTCCGAACGTTCTCTTTTCTTTTGTATACATGTATACTGTACCTATATATGATCCCCATCATTCTGGTGTACATCTAGGGCTGCAACAACTAATCGACATAATCGATTATAATCGATTATTGAAAAAGTTGTCAACTTTTTCAATAATCGATTAATCGTCTTCCGATCAGTTGGCCCTGTTCACGGCTCCACACACGCTGCGCCTGCCACCCCCTCCCCCCCTTACGCTCGCCGCTGCCAGACCCGCCCGCCCGCATCCACGCTCTTCACGCCGCACCTCCTCCCCGTCTCACACTCACCGCCCGCATCCACGATCGGCACAGGGACGCGGGGAGATGTAGTAAGGAGGAGCAGTTGTGGGAGCAGGTTGGCCGAAGATTGCTCAGGTAAAGGTGGCAATACACTGTACAAGCATCACAAGACCTTAGTCTTGCGATGCTTGTAAAGTTATTAAAAAAACGTACGATCTGCCCATCTTGGACAGGCAGATCGCACTCTCGAT